GTGGTCGACAGAATTCCATTGTGATTTGAAACTGTAGGATCGTTCCCGCAATGTAAATGGGATTGCAAGTGGTGCTGGTGGATGAGTTGCCGATGGAATTCCATTGTGATTTGCAACTCTAGGATCGTTCCCTCACTGTAAATGGGATTGCAAGTGGTGCTGGTGGAGGAGTTGCCGATGGAGTTTTGCAGAAAGTCTCGCACGAAATGCATTTTTGAGAGATAGCAGATGCACGAAACCCTATGTTTTTCCATACAAAGTCCGTCCCCGAACCTCGATGATCTACCTCTGCGGTGCGACGGGTGCGAGACGGTCTCGTGTGTGGTCGGATCATGCTCGGATCATGCTCGGATCATGCTCGGATCGGTTCCGCATTGTAAATGGGGTTTCACCTGTGTTTCGTGCATGTGCGGTCGACACATGGCGTTGGAGCTACAATTTCCGACGCCGTTGCGCGTAGTTCTATTGTGTTTTGCAACTCAGTCTCTGCAGATCGCATTGTAATGGCTGCGTCAAGGTTGCTTCGTGCTGTGGCTGCATTCGTAATACTATTGTCTTTTGCAGCTGGACTGCGTAAATCGTATTGGAGTGGCTGCATGAAGGCTGCCATAGTGATTTGTCAGCAGATTTTCTCCATTTTGGCGCTAGTGATTTTCCTTCTAAAAATCCTTTTAAAAAGTGCTTCAAAATCGTCTTTTTTTCGCTCTGGCGTCGAGATCCGGTTTTGGAGCTACAATTTCCGACGCCGTTGCGCGTAGTTCTATTGTGTTTTGCAACTCAGTCTCTGCAGATCGCAATGTAATGGCTGCGTCAAGGTTGCTTCGTGCTGTGGCTGCATTTGTAATACTATTGTCTTTTGCAGCTGGATCTCGTAAATCGTATTGGAGTGGCTGCATGAAGGCTGCGACAGTGATTTGTCAGCAGATTTTCTCCATTTTGGCGCTAGTGATTTTCCTTCTAAAAATCCTTTTATTAAAGTGCTTCAAAATCGTCTTTTTTTCGCTCTGGCGTCGAGATCCGGTTTTGGAGCTACAATTTCCGACGCCGTTGCGCGTAGTTCTATTGTGCTTTGCAACTCAGTCTCTGCAGATCGCATTGTAATGGCTGCGTCAAGGTTGCTTCGTGCTGTGGCTGCATTCGTAATACTATTGTCTTTTGCAGCTCGACTTCGTAAATCGTATTGGAGTGGCTGCATGAAGGCTGCCATAGTGATTTGTCCGCAGATTTTCTCCATTTTGTCGCATTAGTGTTTTTTTGTTCCACGTAGGTTTAGAGCAGTGTGAAGTGTAGGGCGTAAAGAGTGCAGTGTGAGGTTTGGAGTGTGAAGGAAGCAGTGAGAAGTGAGAAGTGTGAAGTGCGGACTGTGAAGTGTGGAGTGTGAAGTGTGAAGTGTGGAGTGTGAAGTTTGAAGTTTGGAGTGCGAAGAGTGCAGTGTGAAGTGTGGAGTGTGAAGACTTTGCTTCGTCTCTCGCTGAAAAAAAAAACGCTTGTCGAGGGAAGGACACGGTCGGGACAGGTTGTCTTTGAACTATAGGTCATTTATGTTTGGGAAACTTCCGCCGCCGGCTTGCCCGGGTCTATGTTAATGTATTGTAATGTATTGTCATGTATTATACTGTATTTCAATATATCGCGCTGTATTGTAATGTATTGTAATGTATTGTAATGTAATGTATTGTAGTGTGTTATACTGTATTTCAATGTATTGCAATGCAATGTAATGTATTGTAATGTATTGTAATGTATTGTAATGTATTGTATTGTAATGCATTGTAATCCATTGTCATTTAGTGTAATCTATTGTAGTGTATTGTAGTGTATTGTAATGTAATGTATTGTATTGTAATGTCATGTCATGTATGTATGTATGTTTGTATGTATGTATGTACGTATGTATGTATGTATGGGGTGCCCCTTGTAGTGCTAGAACCACAGTTGGAGCCGATTTCGCAACAGAAGCTATGCGCAAGACAAAAAAGTATCTCTAGTATTATGTGTAGTGTGAAACATTACAAACATACAATTCTATACATCATATGATGGAAATATACATTTATATATATATACATATACATATATGATTATATATATATATACATATATATATATATGTATATATGTATATAGAGTCGCCGAAGGAAGTTTAGAAGTCAAACTTCCGACAATATGGACAGATGAAAAGCAGAGATGGGCAGAGTAAGAGAAGAGAAGAGAAGAAGAAAGAAGATCAGAAAAGACAAAGTCTCAGAAGAAAGAAGATCCAGGTGCGCGAAAAGGTAGGAAAGTTGCGAAACACTGTGTTTTTCCAATGGTCGAAAAGTAGGCTCGCTATAAAGCGGCGGGTGCGGAGCCAGCTGGCCAGATGAGAGATGAAAAATGGCACGCCGTTGTGGTGCACAGCACATTTGCAAGTTAAAAAGCTAAAAACACCTCACGTTCGGACCATTTTTGGAAGTTGAGACGTCGAAAAAGTGCACGCCGTTGTGGCGCGAAGCACATTTCGAAGTCAAAATGTTAAAAAGACCAGTGGTTCGCGCCACTTTTAGACTTTGAAGTGTCGTTTCGCGTGGCAGGCGCAAGGGATTGTGCTCCGTGTCAAAAGTGAGCAAAACGTGAAGGTCTTGTAGGCAGGCGTGGGACATCTGAAGAGGATCTGCAAAGATGCATTTTCCATGGCAGGCGCAGTACAAGAGACATGTTTGTCAGAGCTGTTAGGAGGTCCGGGCGCTGATTTCCTGAGGGGTTGCATTTTGGAGCATCAGATCTTCAGGTTTGCTGAGATGATTTTGCGTGACAGGCGCAGCACTTCGTATGATCTGGCATCACTTTTTCGTGGCAGGCGCAGTACTTTAGACAGGTGGACTGGAAAAATCGCAAAACGCATTGGTACGAGGCCGTCAGCTCTGCACTCAACTTTCCATTTTTGAAGGAAGTCTCGCAGAATTGCTTCGCTTTTGATGTTGGCATGTTCAAAAATTGAAGAAGTCTCGCAGAATTGCTTCGTTTTGGATGTTGTCAAGTTCAAAAATTGAGGAAGTCTCGCTGAATTGCTGCGTTTTTGATGTTGTCAAGTTCAAAAATTCAGGAAGTCTCGTAGAATAGTTCGTTTTCAAGCGTGCCGATAGACAGATAGATAGGCAGATAGATAGAGAGAGAGAGAGAAAGTTCGATCGATCGATAGACAGATAGATAGACAGATAGATAGATAGATAGGTAGCTAGATAGTTAGATAGACAGATAGACAGATAGACAGATGAGAGAGAGAGAGAGAGATAGATAGATAGATAGAAAGATAGATAGACAGATAGACAGATAGACAGATAGACAGATAGCTAGATAGATAGATAGATAGACAGGTAGATAGATAGATAGATAGGTAGGTAGGTAGGTAGGTACGTAGGTACGTAGGTAGGTAGATAGTCAGAGAAAGGGAGAGAAAGAGAGAGAAAGAGAGAGAAAGAGAGGAGACCTCAACCACCTTTCGGTCCATCAGTGGATTCGCTCTGCCATCCGTGATTCACAACAACCAACCTCTCCTATAGGTTTTCAATTTTTGAAACTTCCGCCACCGCCTTGTGCAGTACTACTGGTATCATGTGTTTGTATCTAGAGATCGAAGCCATGGCCCATGGGAAATCTGCGGTCTTGAAATCGAAGGCTGCTACGGCATCGCCGCGCCAGAGCTCGGTGTTCATATCCAGCAACTTGCAGAGCTCGCGGCACGCCACCTCCACGTTGAGGTCCTCTAAAAACACTCACAGTGAAACATCGGTGTCCGAAAACTGTGGGGACAACGAACCAACAAAAATGGAAATATAAATGGGGACACCATGGAATATAACATCCGAAAAAAAAGGCTGTGGAAGAGAAGTACCTCAAATCAACTTAAATATCAATGGAGGTTCCTTTTCCATGTATATCACAAAAGGCCATAAAAAAACCAGGCTACTGCCTAGCCGCTAGCTGGCAGGAACACTGCCTGCAGATACATACCTGCGCCTTGGGAGCACCTTTTTCAACTTCATTGATACCCAAAAATCGTCTCACATAGGTACAATGTGGGGCCCCCTAGTTATAAGTGTTTATAACCCCATCTAACTATGGTTATAACTACCATAAACCCTAGTTATTGTAGTTATAAACCAACTTAGCTATCTTGGGGGCCCCACATTGTAGGGTTTATATTTGGCTATTGGTGTGAGGATGCCCCAGCAATGGTGCTAACCGTTAAAAAGGACATCAATGGTTCAGAGTTGGATGGTCTTTTTCCCCTCAACTGGATATTCTTATACTCCACAAAACACATAAAAAAGGGGGGGTTCCTGAAATAGGGGTACCCCCAGCTATCATCCATTTATAGATGGATTTTCCCTTATAAACAATCCATTTTGGGGTACCCCCATTTGTGGAAACCCCCATATAAACATACAAGGTAAAATGGAGCGACTGTTGGCACCTTCTTCCAACCCACAGCATCCCGCAGCAAAAATCATAAGCATCCACATTCAACTCAAACAAGGCACGTCCTCAATCTCCACCTGCCTAAGCCTGAGCCAACAGAATCCATCGGCCATCACTGTCATCTGGTACAGATCGGGAGGCCGAACAAGAGCTGTCCACGGTTTTCCACTGGGGATTCCACCCAAACTGCATAATTTGCCACTGAAAGACGGATCAGGAACCCTCCACAACTCTCAATTTTGCGCCTCTGCCTTCTCTTTTCTTCAGACTTACCTCGAAGTTCCTTCTCCCATATGTTTGCAAAGTGCTTTTCCCGGCCACCAGCATCAACCGTAAATTAATATAGATGGCTCAATAACTATGGAACGATGGGACCATATTTTGGGGGGATGAACATCTACAACTAGCAACTTAAATGTCAAAAGAGGTCAAAAGAGTGTAAAACCACAGATTCTGGGCTCCCCATTTTTCTTTCACAGACTGATACCTGCGGATACCTCATTTCTATTCCTGGTGATTTGATTCCATGATATCATATGATGTTCCCATGATAATCCCAAAAAAAAACAGCTAAAAAAACAAAACACAAAAATACTTAAAAGACCAACTAAAAAAAAGCGTGTTTACCTACCCTCTGGTATTCAAACATGGCGTGCCTGAAGAAAATCCCATCCTTGATAGATTTTTTTCCCAGCTATAGCCCTGCACTTCTAGGAGATTGATTACGGTAAAACAAAATACTTCACTCACCTGCAATAAGGCTATAGGGATGGTTCCCCTTACTAACCATTATCAATGGTTATTTCAGGAACCTAAATTGGAGGTACCTACCATATATAAGGCCTATTTTTCAGGGCTATTTAAGGGGATATACCCCCCGAAAATGGCCAAAAATATGGTACTAACGTACCTCTATTTTAGGATCCTGGAATTCCCATTGACATTACCTTCTTACTGGAGAATCGAATAGAAAAGACACGTCGAGTGACATGCTGGACCAGATCCATTCGCCGTTGCGCGCTGACCTGATCTCCTCTTCGCTACAGCCCATGCCCAGCAACACCAGGGCGGCGGGCAGCGGCGCTTTGCCTCGGCTGGGAAACCACTGGGAACATGTGGAAAAGCTTGGGAAATCACCATTGAATGCGGGAAAAAGTGGTGAAATCTTGGAAAAAATTGGATTTTCTCGTTTTCCAAAATAGGATGTTCCCTATTCAGCCCACCTTTCACAAATTGAGCGTTAAAGTGGGACATCACTATCGCATGCTTTATGACTGAAGAATCGGTGAAACCACTACTCCGCTGGTCGAAGCTAGTCAGCTAGTGCTTCGCACGAATCGTGCTTACAATTCTTTCAAACTCCCCACACGCAGGTTTCGACCTGAAAAAGTCAGTACACTGAGAAGTGAATGTAAGTCATTAAACCAAGTCTGCCGCAAACGATTAACAAACCCTGTGGCATGACCATAATTGGACATGTGTGATGCAAAAATTCTAGTATAATTGATTTGTTCATGCCGAATAGCCATCTCAATAAATCTCAATCACTTCCTCACGTCCTTGGGTGTTTCTGTCTTGATGCAACCTTGAGGATGTCATGAACCCAGGGGTGACAAAGGACTCTTGGGCAGACAGAAGAAGATCTCCGCTTCATCATCTTTGTTCACCTGCCAGCGCTGTGCGACATCTCACCCCTGACATCCCCTGACAGTGGAGTGCCAAAAAAAAACAGGTCAACAAGTGGGGACTCGAAAAACATGCAAAAGCGAATGATTTGAATGAGTACCCTCTGGTAATTTAACATAGCTATGGAAAATCATCATTTTTAATGGGAAAATCCACTATAAATGGACATTTTCAATAGCTTCGTTAAATTACCAGAGGGTAGATAAATCAGAATTCTGCACAGCTCAAACTGTAGTACCCTTCCGTGTTTCTTCAACCAACCACAATCATCGCCTGACAACGGCACCGAATCCTCGAATATTCTTCAGTGACGAGCTCCAGGATATGAACATCCCCACAATCATTGGCTTCCTAGGCGCGGACGCTGAAGCGATGATCACTTCACTACGGGGATACCTAAAGGCACCTATAAATGGTGGATTCACCAAAGGTTGGCAGTGGAATCTTCTGGGATGAGGGGCATGATCTTTCTTAGTGCCCCAGCAACGACAATCAGACTTCGAATTTGCGCTGCATTTTCTCCGATCTGGAGTACTCGGAGTACTTGAAGAGAAGAGCAAAGCATAGCTAAGGAAATTCAAATCCCAATAATTATCATAAATTGTAAATCATAGTTATTGAAGTTTTTGGCACCAAAAAAATACAGTAGCCATCCTAAATCACCCATCAGCCGCTAAGCAACTAGGGAAAAATAGCAGCCGCTTGACCTCTCCAAGCGATGAGCGATGATGTACTGATTGCCAGATATGATCAGGCTGCCATACCTGGCCATCTGGCGAAAGAAAACGTGTTCAGCGAGATCATGTATCATGTACTAATATATCTTGATGTTGAATAGCCCTTTCAGAAACCCTGGTTTAGTATTGGATCTATTCATTTTGGGGGTCCCAAGTCGAATTAAAGATAATATCAGGATGAAGGGATTGCCTGTATCTATCATCAGAAAAACTGAGGCGATGGTCCTGTCATTGGCTTCTGACGTCATTGTTGCTGTACTCGATATCTATATGATACCCCTTGGTAATTCAACATAGTCATGGAAAATGGCCCGTTCAATGTTGTTTTACCTATCATAAAGTTTGATTTTCCATAGCTCTTTTACATCACTATATAGAGGGTTGCCTCGTCTTCAGAATAATAATCGCTCCGACGATCGCATTTTTCGTGCTGTGGTCAAATACTCTCCCATGTCAATTTCATAGGATAGGGTGATGTTTATCATGATTTCTGACCACGATGTGGCCAAAATTCATCGTTTTGGTTGACCACCCATACCTCCCTCCCTTAAAACCAGCCAAGCTGGGAAGAACAACTGTCAGTGCTCTGAGACTTGCCTTCATCCCACTACCAACATGAACTGATTACTTGACCTAGTGAAACTAGATAGGAAATACGCTGCTACAAGGTGAGTGCCTTGTAAATCTAAGACAAATGACACTGTCTCAATCTAGGCAAGCACATCCAAGTGGCTCAGTCAGCAAGGGGATTTCTCCGAGCTCCACATGGACCTGCATTTATTTGGAGGACAGCAGATGGTAGCGATGTCATGGCGATTCTCAAAATCCCGAAAAATGCAGATGGTTCAAATGGGTGTGTCTGAAAATGTTGTGTACCCCATTTACCCAATGGTTTTGCTGATCATTATCCCTATTAAATGGCTATTTCATTGGGAATATACCCTATTTTCAGACAAACCCAAATCCTGAAAATCATTACCCTCTGGTTATGTCAACAGTTTGCTATTGAAAATGACCATAGAAATAGTGGATTTACCCATTGAAAATGGTGGATCTTTCCATAGCTATGTTAAATTATGGCATCTGAAAGCGACTCTTTTCAGTGGATCGGGATACTGTGCGAAGAAATGGCCCGTAGCCCCACGACACCTCCCATGGCCCCAACCTCAATGTCCAGCCCTGTCGCAGCATCTCGAAACTTCATAGGCACCACAACCCTGGCTGGAAAAATTCAGGAGTCATATGGGGTGCGTCAACCTCTCAAATACCCATAGGGATCCGCTACAGTCTTAATAAGTCATGTGCTTTTGTTTGATTCTTCTATGTTTTTGCGAAGACAAAACCAAGACTGAAACTATGTACTCTCTTCTCTACAGAGACAAAACTGAATCCCAAGAATTGCACCGCAAACTGACTGGATTTCTGAACCCATCATGCTGGTTGGTTGTATGTCAGTGTGACCATTATCATAAGAGGAACGCCCCAAACAGCAACATTTGCGCTGCCTGGCTCAAGCAAGAATCCTGTTTATACAATAGACCCATCCACACTAGACACCAACACTGATGGGTGTACAATGTGTACAACAAACAAAGCAGACTTCAATCAACAGACCAAAACACTGACCACTCAACCATCCAACCAGCCAAACAGGCATCAGTCAATCTCAATTTTGGGGGAGGTCCTTCCGCCTGCAGACATAGGTCTCTCCATTCTGCTGAACCTGCTCAGCGGAATCGATCCCAGCCACGTAGTACCTCAGCTGCTGGCTGCGTCCACAGAAATATGGGTGTCCCGCGTCCCTCATTCCCAGGAAATCACCAAGACCGCCGATTTGTCGGGGTGGAACACTTGGGAACCGATGCACCCGAGCACGGTGAAATGTTTATCTGAGGATACCCAAGTCAACAAAAGGAAACATTGACTCCTTCAGCTGGGCAACATCTTCTCCACCAAGAGCTCTGCAGAAAATCTCCGCCCCTGCAGAAAATGGGGGTCATCGGACAGCTCCAAATCTCAGGTCGCCCCATTTGAGAAAGGAAACAGCTAGAATGCCGATCTGAGATACTATGTCGGCCTTTGGTAGGGATCTTCTGCTTCTAGGTCTTACATGGTCTTACTATTGAGCCCAAGATCCAGACCTTCCCTCTTGCTTGTCTTGTTGTGTAATTATATAAATACAACCAACATAAAACGCGAGAGCTCCAGAGGTACCCATACTCTCCAGCGGGCCAACATACTCAGCGGCCCATTAATACCTGCACACCTGCGAGAAGCGCGACAGCAGTTGATCCAAAGATGCAACGCAAAGGCCGTCAAGGCCGTCGCTCAACCTCTCACAGCGGTCAAGAAGGCCTCGTTCCAGGGCCTCCTCCTACGTCGGAACCGGACGAAAATTAGCGACATGGTAAGGGCGGTCAATCTCCATTGGATGATGGGAAAATGTTAACCTGAAAGCCAGGCCTCAATTTGATGGTAAAAACCCCATGGTTTCCGGTTCAGATGTTCCCCAACAAACCAACCCAATGATTTTCAGACAACAAAAGGATCTTTAAGCATCATTTTCACCGCACACGCTGGTCAGGTCGTCCTCAGAGATGAACACCAAGCTGTTGTCGGTGAGCCGAATGTGCTCTTGCATCTTCTCCAGTTCTTTGCCAAAGAGGTGCCTCCAGCAACCCCAGTGGGAGGGCTTGGGTTGAACCACCCAGCTATTGGAATTGAGAGTTGCTCCCAAGTACTCAAGTGGTAAGGGTTCGAACAGAACTTAGAAGTACGCTTAGCCGCTTAGCCTGTTGAAGTGACAATAAAAGGAACCCATGGAAATGAAACAAATCGAGAACTGTCCATGAGAGCTTCTAAGTGTGTCAAATGTGAACAATCTTTCTCCAAAAATCGAGAGCAGCCATGCCTCATGAAGTGCAGGTATGAATCTCTATGCCCCTGCAGTAGATGCACTGGCTTCTGCTGCCGTTCTGTTTCCAAAAACTCATCATCCTCAGGTGGACCTTCAGGACTGCCGACCTGGCACAACAAGGGCATGTCCGGCTGAAAATCAAACCGCCTCTGCCTCCAGCCGGCAAAATAGGCTAAAATAGGCTAGCCCCCAAATTCATGGTTCATCAACATATACAGTACATGTTTCTTGTTTGTATGGAAAGATTGCCATGAATGGACTTCAATAGACAAGCAAAATCCTCAATTTTCAGAGGCATGGTTGTGTGTCAAAACCCAGGCACCCTTCTGTTCACCACAAAATAGCTGGGATTTATGAATATCTATTGAAGCTTCATCCCAGTCATATGGGGATGGGTCAAAACCCTGTACCCCTGGTGAACATCAAAATAGCTGGTAAATGAATGTTCATCCCACTAAAAATGTATCTATAGGTATTGATCCATAGCCATATCTCACTAAATGACTTGATCCATCACCACATCAGCCAGACCTTGTGATACCACAAGTCATTGATCAAATGCCGCGTGGGCAACGCATGCCGCGCGCGATGACATCTCCGGCTCCGCCGGCCAGCGCCAACGAAAGCAGCAGGGAGGGCTACAAAGCAGAGGACTCGAGCCAGGTGAGCCTTGGACCTGGGAGAAATTTGGAAGGAAAGCCTGGTGAATTGGAAAAGGTACATAAATCCTGCGAAATTTTGGATTTTACTTGGAAAAATTTGGAGCTTTTGAGGGAACCGATAGGTATCAATTCAATCTATCCATGTGGTGATGCCATTCTGCCCAGCCAAGCGTCACTGCAGGCACCGCAGCAGACGTGCCCGTGCCGCCGCGCACCAGGCTCAAAGCTGGTGCAATTGGAAGATGGCGATGCAATAGTAGAGGCTCCATCAGGACAGCAGATCTGTCAAGCCATTGCAGTCAAGCTTTTGGTCAAGCAAACCCTTTCTTTAGTGAATCCCCTTGATGGCTTAATGATAGCTTAAGGGGATATTATGTATGTATATATATATATACATATTATATATGTGTATACATACACATATATGAGTTGTAACTTAATTTAGATTGGGATATGGATGTGGGTCAAATCATTGCGGTACCCACAAACGACTGGTTTTGAGAACCTTACCCCAACATTTCTTTTCTTCGGGGATTTGGGGAGACGGAGTACATTTGACTGTTGGTGGATCTGCATGGCTTCAGGGTGCATGCTTTCGTCACGGAGCTGGTCATCATGTCGGAGCAGGACTTCTCCATTTGTCAATTCATTGGTTCCAGAGAAAATCATCGGAAAATCATGGGAAAATCTGCATCAAGCCAGTGTTTTTACCACCAAATATAGGCGGTTCATGCAGTTTCTGCCCTCATCCAAGCCACTTTGTCCTGGAAACAGCTACGGTCACGGCGTTTCAATTTCACCGCGTTTCCAGTGCGTGAAACCGTTCCCATGGTTGGTTGAGAATGATATAAAAATATCATATATATATATACATACATACATATAGATATATTCTATCTACTATATATACATATACATACATACACTACACAATATATATATATACATACATATATACATATGCCATATGCATTCCCTCGCCATTGATTATCAGCACGACCTTGCTCCGCTCCTCCTGCTGCATGCAGTTTGCCACATGGCGATGGACCTCCTCCCAGTGTGCGTCAGCGCCAGTTGCGCCTCCCTGGCGGCCACTGTGGAGGAAATCCCCAGCAGATACCCTCTGGTTATGTCAAAATAGCTATTGAAAATGGCCATTTATAGTGGATTTACCCATTAAAAATGGTGATTTTCCATAGCTATGTTAGTTTACCAGAGGGTAACTATGAAACACTGGGGAAAAAAAAGATGGGATTACAACGGGATAAACGGATAAACCATCTACCAATTGGTGCAAGATTTTGCAAACATCCACAGTATCACTGTTACCCTGAAAAATGAAATCCCAATCTAAAGTTTCGTTCGGGGGCTATTTTGGTTAATATGTGGGGGAAGGATTACTTCTCCACATAGATTAATGGAGAAATGAATGCAGGGAATGAACGTTGATTTATATACACTAACTGCATTAATGATGTTTAGATTTGAATTACAAAGTACGAGGATATTATATAATGGCTGTATCAATCATTGATAATGTGTCATAATGGTTGATAAGCTTATACCGTATACCCGTGCATTGCTCAAGTTTGTGGCCTCTCATCTTTTTGGGTGCGTCAAAATTGGAATCCACAACAAAGAAGGATGTCATAAAGGACAATATTCCAATCCCCTATTACTAAACAACCCCCCAGAAACCATGGTTTAATAAGGGAGTTGCACATATTTGGGACCATCATTAATTAGCCATGGGGGTGTTTAATGGTAGGGGGATGAGATTTTCGTCATGGGGTCCACTTCCACCTGGCCTCTTTTCCGCGACGGCGCTTCAGAGTGCCTCGTAACGGACACGCACCAGTCCGAATGGACCCGCAGAACTGAAATATGTCCTCATGACGGTGCGACATGTGTGCATACATGTATGTATGTATGTATGTATGTATGTATGTATGTATGTATGTATGTATGTATGTATGTATGTATGTATGTATGTATGTATGTATGTAGTATGTATGTATGTATGTATGTATGTATGTATGTATGTATGTATGTATGTATGTATGTATGTATGTATGTATGTATGTATGTAATGTATGTAATGTATGTAATGTATGTAATGTATTTAATGTATGTAATGTATGTAATGTATGTAATGTATGTAATGTATGTAATGTATGTAATGTATGTAATGTATGTAATGTATGTAATGTATGTAATTTATGTAATGTATGTAATGTATGTAATGTATGTAATGTATGTAATGTATGTAATGTATGTAATGTATGTAATGTATGTAATGTTTTGTATGTAATGAATGTAATGTGTGTTATGTATGTAATGTATGTAATGTATGCAATGTATGTAATGTATGTAATGTATGTAATGTATGTAATGTATGTAATGTATGTCATGAATGTAATGAATGTAATGTGTGTAATGTATGTAATGTATGTAATGTATGTAATGTATGTAATGTATGTAATGTATGTAATGTATGTAATGTAATGTAATGTAATGTAATGTAATGTAATGTATGTAATGTATGTATGTATGTAATGTATGTAATGTATGTAATGTATGTATGTATGTATTATGTGATGTATGTGATGTATGTAATGTATGTAATGTATGTAATGTATGTAATGTATGTAATGTATGTAATGTATGTAATGTATGTAATGTATGTAATGTATGTAATGTATGTAATGTATGTAATGTATGTAATGTAAGTAATGTATGTAATGTATGTAATGTATGTAATGTATGTATGTATGTATGTATGTATGTATGTATGTATGTATGTATGTATGTATGTATGTATGTATGTATGTATGTATGTATGTATGTATGTATGTATGTATGTATGTAATGTATGTAATGTATGTAATGTATGTAATGTATGTAATGTATGTAATGTATGTAATGTATGTAATGTATGCAATGTATGGAATGTATGTATGTATGTATGTATGTATGTATGTGTGTATGTATGTATGTATGTATGTATGTAGGTAGGTAGGTAGGTATGTATGTATGTATGTGTGTATGTGTATATATAGATATACATACATATATATATACATATATATATATATATGTATATATATATGTATATATTGTACATACATATATATATATATTATACATACAATTCATATGTACTTACATGTAGCCTCTGGTAATTTAACATAGCTATGGAAAATCACAATTTTTAATGGGAAAATCCACTATAAATGGCCATTTTCAATAGCTATGTTAGTTTACCAGAGGGTATACCTTTTTCAGCACCCATTGATAATCAGGCCTCCCCGCACACATCAGCAACAGGCCCCCGGACCGCCTGTAGCTTTCGAAGATGACTCTTCCGGACGGTCAGGCGCCTGGCTGCAACCATCTCCATGATCAACAAATGGATTTCAGCCAAATTCAAAGGGAAACCACACATGGGCTTTACCATGACGACCATCCCAAGAATTTTCAGGTCCTGCCATTGTCCTTTGAAACTCTTCCCAAGGCGTTGAAACGACAGCATCTGCCTGTGTCTTCCGGGGGGCATCCACGGCCGCCATCAGGGATTCGCAGCAAGTCTCCTTGAAATGGCAGCGCAACTTCTGGGGGACCAAATCTCTGACTTTTGACCCACCCTAAACATCAACAAAATTACTGTGGATGGATTCAGCTGATGTTGTTTTTCTTCAATGTTGGCCTGTGGAGATTGCTGAGCTCCCAACTCTGAGCGATACAGTACATGTTTATGCTATTTGTGTATCAGAGCTACAAGCGACCACATCAAAGCGATATCATTCCGCTTCCACAAGCCCTGTGAGCTTCGCAACGAACTCTGCAGTTACTCAGTAGGAAGGTCCCACCCCTCATCTCCAGCAACTCGGTCACACTGAAAGAGTCCAGGCTCAAGCAATGCCAACAGCCACACAGCGTGTCTAACAGCCAGAAAATCACATTGATGTTGCGAACCTCAAAATTTCAAAAGATCCCTAGAATTGCCATGTTCAAAGAGGAGAATCATCAAATCATCGAACCCAACCCCCCTCCCTTTTGGGTTCCATGGCCGATTCGCAGGAGACGCATGGAAGGATCATCTTCCACCTGGCACCGGGATGGGTCTGTCACCCAGTTGTACCCCGGGTGGACATCAAAAAACAGCCGGAAGTGATGGATCTTCAATTCATCCCAAAATACGGTATTTCATAGCTACCCTCTGGTTATGTCAAAATAGCTATTGAAAATGGCCATTTATAGTGGATTTTCCCATTAAAAATGGTGATTTTCCATAGCTATGTTAATTTACCAGAGGGTAACTTGATCCATCGCCATCTAAGGGTTTCCACTGGTGAAAAGTGGGACAGCTATCAAAGTTGCCTACTTTGGGACGGACTTCTCGTTTTTCACACTGTTCCACATTTTTACTGGCAACAAAATTGGGTTCCTGCAGATATTCCCACCCCATGTTGCGTTTTGAACTGAAGTTGGATAACCCTCTACTGTACATCCCTACAATTATTGGTTCAGGCCCCACTTTTTCATATCTAATTCTTTTTTGCTGGTCATTTTATCCACTGAAATATCACCTCAAATACCCTCTGGTGATTCCACATAGCTCCGGAAAAGGTCACCATGTTTGATAGGTAAATCATCCATAAACGGGCCCTTTTTCCATGGCTATGTTAAATTACCGGAATGCAAATCACCATTATCCATGATTCCTCCATGGTTATTGTTTTTCCCGCGTTTTTCCCACTATTAACCACTACTATATGGAAAATAACCTTTTATATATGTAAATCACCATTATCTCACCATTTTTTGATGGCTGAAGCACTATCAACCAAGAATTTCTGGCAGAATCCCTTCCATTTCTGCCCCCCCATAGGGAACCGGGCCCCTCCTGCTGAAGGCACCGCAGCAGCGCCCGTATCTGTCCGTGGGCGCGGAGGCACAAACGCACCTCCGGGATACGGACCTGGCAGAAATCGCCAGGTTATGGGCCCATGGGTGATACCCTCTGGTAAACATACAAAAAGCTATTGAAAATGGCCCAGTCGAAATAGTGGATTTACCCATTGAAAATGGTGATTTTCCATAGTTATGTAAACGTTTACCAGAGGGTATGGGATACAGATAATACAGATATCATATGGATGGGATAGAAATGTCACTCCGTGATGCCTTAAATTTCACCAAAGGATGGCAAAAGATGATGCCAAATGATTGGGCCCAATGGGTCTACCCTCTGGTAAACTAACATAGCTATTGAAAATCACCATTTTAATAGGTAAAACATCTAT